CTTTTTAGTGATAACTTTTTAGTGTTTCTAATTGTAATTTTTTACGTAAAACTCATCTTAAATTTTATTTAATTGCTCCGTAATTTATTTCTTTCTAGGAAAACCATTGTGTGAATTTGGAGTAAAACATGAAACGTGTTTTAAAAAATATTTCCACACAAACCAGATGCACTTGCAAACAGAACAAATCCCGATCCAAACGGATCTAGATTTAGGAAATACAGTACGTAGCATAAGGCACGGGTTTTATAGAGAGAGGGGGGCATGTCAGTTCTGGAGCTCATCAGAAATGAAATGAGAATTGAAAATGAAAGGAAACGAAAGGGTGGATCCATAGGGTGGTGATGGCAATTTCACATCAGTGGGGGCACGTGCATTATTATCCCAAAGTGATCTGTCTTGAAAGGATCCATTCGTATGCATTCTGACCTGGATAAATGTAATTTTATGTCAAAAATATGAACAACATATCCATATGGCGCCATACTATAATTTCCGTGACTATAATTGATTATGATTACTCACCATTTAAAGATAAGAAAGTGTAACTTATACTCCTTTCGTTCTCTAATACTTGTCTCTCTTTCCATTTTGGGTTGTTTTCTAATATTTGTCTCTCTTTCCATTTTTGGAATTTTTTCCAATAAATATACTTATTTACCCTCATTCTCTTTCCTACCTTTTCATTTAAACACAACTCATTATACCTTTTATACTACCCCTATTATTTTCCTCTTAAAACTTGTGTCAAACCCTATAGGACCAACTAATGGAGAACGGAGGGAGTATGTTTTTAGTTGGACTACTTACAATTCCAAATCAAATTATAGCAGACGAAGTTAAATAAATTACAAAAGATTAGACTTAGATAGATGAAATCAGTATTCCGTATTTGTAAGGATGTTTTTACATGGACTATAATTTACTGGTTTGATTTGATCTAGTCTGGTAGGCTCTGAACTACTCTGATTTGTTCTGGTAAACGTCCGGTCTCTGTGTATTTTATAATTACGCAAGTCAAGTCTGGTCTGATCTACTCTCTTTAAGTCCGGTCTGGTCTGATTTCTTTAAGTCTGGTGTAGCCTACTTAAATCTGGTCTGGTCTGAGTTGAAAATAGTCCAAGTAAAAACATGCTAAAATACGCTAGATAGACCAGATGTCTATCAATCAAATCAGATTAGAAAATTTCAATTCAATTAAAAACCTCAGTAATAGTAGGGGTGGGCAAAAATACCGAACCGGCATGGTACCGAACCGAACCGATATGGTACCGGACCGAAAAACGGGGTTTGAAACGGATCTCAATTTTTTTGTCCCGAACCGGACCGTACCGATTCTAAACAATGTCATGACCGGTTCTCATAAAATGAGAACTGAAACCAGACCGAACCGGACCGAAGTATGATTTAATTATTTCAATTTACATTTATACCATTATTTTGACTAGTGTCTTTACATTTTCACCGTCTTTGCTAGTTCATAGAAAGCCTGGAATCGGACCGATGTATGGTTAAATCATTTAAATTTGTACTACTATAATTTATCTGAAATTTATTAATTATGTAATACTACCTCCGTCCCAAATTGATTTGCAAAATTAACTTTTTTTGTCAAACAGATTCATTTTATTCACTTAACTAGAATGTCAATTTTTAATTATATTTAATTTGGAGCTTGCAACTTTGAAGAAATTTCAATGTAGTTTCTGAATATGTTTATTTTAATTATTACAAATTGAATTAATTATCAATAAAGATAATTTAACTCTAACATTGGTTGACCAAAAAATATTGACTTTGCATGTCAATTTGGGATGGAATGAGTATGAAAATTGATAAATTGTGTAGATTTTTGGAGGACGACTAAACTTTAATTGACTCTTAAACACTTGGAAAAAGTGGCATTGTTTGGTATTAGTATGGCATGGTACCGTCCCGATTCAAAATGAAACCGTACCGAATGGGTTTAGGTCTAAGACCGAACCGAACCGAACCGTTTGAATAGTAACGGTACGGGTACGGGTTCGGCCAAATATTGGACCGGACCGGACCGCGCCCACCCCTAAGTAATAGTAGTCCACAAGAGAAGTTGTCGACGACACCCATTTTGGATGTCTCCCAACGATAGTTTTCTATGACTTTTATGAAAATATTTTCCAACAATCTTCTTAGTCTAAAAAAATTTGCCGCTTTCTTTTAAAACAATGAATTTATGGCTTTGTTAATTTTTTAATCATTTGCACAAACTCAACGACACAATTTATACTATTCAAATTTCACACCAACATCAACTTAGCAAAGTCGAGTGAGACCAAATTACTACATGATAGTAACCTGTTGGCCATAGAAGTTATTAACTAATACCTAGCTAGCTAGTCATTAGTTGTGGGATGTAAATGCAAGTATATTTAGTGTGCATTTGATAAAAATCGGCTGAATCTACTGAAATTTATGAAATTATAGCTAAAATGGTTGATTTGACCAAATTTATTGAGTTATGGAAAAATTTATCTTTTGCAATACTTTTCTATCAATTCAGCCATAAAGTAATTTCAATTTTACCTTTTTTATTATTACACCATTCAGTGCTCGAAGTGGAAATCTGCGTGTTTTGTAAAACAATTGTTTGATAAAGCTGTTAAACTAAACGTAGGGGTTACCAAACAAAATCTTAGCTAATTTGTGATTTTAAACATATAATAAGTGTTTAAGTTCTATCTATGAAATAGTAAGTTTAGATTGTTATGTTTTCCTAAAAATAAAGGAAGAAATTAAGGGTTGGCACGGTACGGGTCAGTCTGGATAATCGATAAATTTTCAAGAACCGTCGATTGCATTTAATGGGTAGGTTCGGTACGGGTATTCCAAAATTTGAAATAGGAATCATACCTTACACGCCCCGTTTGAAACATGTCAGTTCAGTCCGAGTTCTCGGTTCTTTAATTTTTTTGTAAGAAAAATACCGTTATGCTAGCAAAGTATCTAGTAGTTATAACATTCTCAAACCAATTAAGTATCAATGTCACATAATATTATACAAATTTAAATAAAAACATAAAACAACATTTTAAATGAGTAAACAAAATAACTAATCACAAATTTATAATTAAACAACACACAACTACCCAAATTAAGCAACACCAAATTTAAAAATGTAGAAATTTAGACATCATTATGCATAAACTAAAAAGATATCACTATAAAGTTAGAAGAAATTAAACCAGTTACCATGCATAATTGTCTATGAAAACAATTTAAACCTTATTAAAACTCAAAATATTAGTAAAATTAAGATAATTAAATAAATATATCACACTTCATTCAGTAAGAGTCTTCATTTAAAAAAAATATTAAATAAAGAAGTTTGATGCATTTGAAATAGAGAATTGGAGGAAATAATTTAGGAGTTTATATGGACTTTGATTTGTAATAACATGTCAAGTTTCTTCAATTGAGAGCCTCTATTTTTGTAGAACAATAGGAGCATGAAAAGCTTTCTCTATTATTAGTATATTTTATTAAATGTAATAGAGTTTTTCAAATAACATTATATAACGGTCTTGGTATCCATTTTTTAAAATTTTAAGATCTGTTTAGTTCCTAAGCTTTTAAACACCCACCTCGAACCGAACCGTTTGAGTTTTCTAAAATTAGGACCCTGTCCTAATCCGCCCGAATCTGTATTTCCCAGGCTGACCCGTGGCTCCTGTAATTTCTCACAAGTTCGGGCCTAAATTATGTATGGAACCCCTACCTGTGAAACTTGAAGGTGGCTTGGGGTTGAAGAGGTGTAGCATTTAAAATTGCCAATATAGTAGAACTACAACAAACAATGTCTATAATGCAAAAATAAACTACGTAGTTTATACAAATAACTCATTTATTTCAACATTTGTTATAAATTACATTTCTACTACTATACTCATTATTCATGAACAGATCTTGACTGAAATACTCAATATTTATTTGCATAGTTATACAAAACATTGAAACGAACTTTTTTACATGGATTAGGAATTTAGAATACAAATGTAGATTAAGAGCCATTATTATTAATTATCCATTTATTTGGAAGAGAAAACCCCACCTTTTGTTAGCAGACAAGATGACTATGAACCATTATTAATTATGCATTTATCTAGAAGAGAAAAGCTCATCATCAGAGTACTAAGGAGTATAACACAAGTAAACTGAGAACCATCTTTCATAACTTCTCATATTTTAATTTGGTTAAAGTTACTTGATTATTGTGCTCATGTTAGCCCATATCAATCAACTTACTTGGCTCTTCATAGGAGTAATAGCTCATTTTAATATCTTCTAATGTCCATATTAATTTGTTGCTAATGCTAAATAAAAACTGTTTAATACTCCGTATGATATACTATATTCATCTAGATTTGGTGCACGATTTATTTTTGGTACACGTATAAAAGCATATAATCAACTTATTTTTCATGACTGGAAATCTGGAATAGTCGTTCAGTTTAATATTTCTTACTAGTGTATCATACTCTATTAATTTGCTTAATAATAAAATAGCATTATAATATTTTGTACTATCGTCTAAATTGCAATGTTTACATGCATAAAAGCGTATCAATCAATTTATTTTTTCACAAGAGTAATAGTTCATTTCAATATTTTCTAATATCCATTTCAATATGTTAAAGAATTAAAACTTAGTGCATGAATAAAATGCTAAAAGCGTATCATGCCCATGGGTCTAAATTGGTACCCTAATACATACGAGGCATTTTTATTTCCTTTGTGGTGAATGTAGTTATGAAGGTACCGATTTTCTCCAAAGCTTTTTGTTTTGGGAATGGGTGATAAGGGTTCCATTGAACTACAATGCAGAATCTGTTTTAAAAATTAAATTTCAAGGTATTTTTGTGATAGATTAAGTGCAACAATGTACAAACACAAAATTGAATAACGTACCATAGTTATACGAAGTTAATATATACAAGGAACATGATATATAAATTTGGATGTACCTCATGGCTTATGCAGTCATGCACCACTTTGCAAGGTAAGGGCGGAATTAGGGGAACGAGGGGGCAAGCCAGTGCCAGCACCACCCATTCGAGGGCATGTTTATTGCAAATGTGTATGCATGTATAATGTATGTATATGTTTGCAGCCCTGATCATTAAAATTGCTACAGAACTAGCGTTGGTATGTGTACAAGCCCTATAAGGTATATCACTTCCAAAAGTACCTTGAGTCCTTGAATGTCAATTGCACACTAATCATGCTTAGTTTAGAGGCTTCCTGCCAATTAGGGGAGGAGTTATAACTGATTATTGAAGCCAATGCCATCAATAACAAAAGTGCAAGCTGGGAGGACTAATAATTTGATTATCAGAAAAATAGTCATCTTAAATGTGTACGATCGTATTTTTCTCATGGCCATAGGGAAGGGACCAAGCTGTGGACCAGGCATGGACGTAGACCAGTTCTGGTTCCGGGTAAGGTAAAGAGGAGAACCAGAACCTTAATCAGGTAAACCTGTTCCGGCCCGTTTTTTTTTAGTATTTTCCACACACAAAAAAAAGGAACGGGAACCTGTAAGATCCTTTAGAGGAACTGAAACCAGCATGGACCAGTTCAGGATACCAACTCTAGTCTGGAACCGAAAAAACAGGTGCCTGATTCTATTTCTGAGTTTTGCTAGATGTACACAAAATTGTACACATGTCTGTCCTTCACAGAAATTTTATCTGTCACAGACAACCCATCCCTACCCCAGTCCACACTGTGGACGGGTTAATAAAAAAGCCAAGCCTGAACCAGAATTCAGCTTACTTCGACCGGAATGCTCTCCTAAAAGATTGTAAGGTACTATTCTAATTGAGAAAGAAAGCACTGACTATTAGAAAAATTAAAATAATGTTATTTGCAGGCTTGTAGCTTTGAGCGGTTAGGGTATTGCCTCGAGGGCTTTAAGCCCTAGGCCCCACCTGTGTCAATGAATGCTAGCTCCGGCAGCAGACTCATGGATAGGGGGATCTTTGCTGAAGGATTCCCAATCAACTTCTCTGATCACTTTAAATCTTTCATCCAATGATATAAACCCAACATGAGATGCAACGGCTCCCGAATTACCAGCTTTGTAGAGCAAAACAATACTAGATCCCATATCAGGCCCATGAAGCTTTCCTGTTAGTAGTACCCTAAGGGGCATGAACAGAGACTTTCCCTGGCACAAGAAATGAAAGAACCCAAGATCAACTAATCGTTATGTTTATCCCAAAATCATGCTTGTCGCGAGATTTTTGGGTGGAAGGTATCTAAAATAAATATGCAAGTTACAATCATTATTTCTAACCTTCCGCTCCAGTGCTTTACCAAAGCTCTTTACCCATTTTTGCCACCCAGGTTGGCCTTCATCAAGTGCAGCGAAGAGCTCACCACTAGAATACGCAGCTAGCAAACTATCGGCCACTTCATGAAGCCCATCATCCAATAATGATTTTCCTTCAGGACTGCAAAGGAAATGGTAGCGGTTTAATCAAATTTCTTCACTAAATAAATAAATACTCCCAATCTCATTAAATATGGGTTTCATATATGAAGGAAACAAATAATGTTTCATCATTTTTCCAATTTGACCCTTAAAAGTAGGTATATCTTTTATAATAGGGAAAACTATCAAATAGGTCCTTGAACTTTCATAAAAAAGTCAATTAAGTTCTTATATAGGAGACTCTGTCCGGTCTTCGCGGTTCCCGGTGGAATTTTTTGATGAAATTTTTTGAGCATCTTATTCATCAAGTCTAGTTTACTCATACCAAATTTCAGCTAAAAATTTAATCGGGAGCGCATTCAAATTAATTTGAGAACGCAAAAATGCGCAGTTATCTTCAAGAATTAAATTGAATGTGTTCCCGATTGAATTTTTAGCTGAAATTTGGTATGAATAAACTAGATTTGGTGAATTAGATTCTCAAAAAATTTCATCAAAAAAATCCACCGGGAACTGCCCCAAATCGCGACGGCCGGACAGAACCTCCTATAGAAGGACTTAATTGATCTTTTTATGAAAGTTCGAGGACCTATTTGACAGTTTTCCCTTTATAATAAGATGTGCAAATACTTCAAAATGTCAATTTAGAAGGGCAAGAAGGTTGTGGAGTTCAAAAAGGAAAGTGGATATAATTGGTGTGATAAACCAAAAAGGAAAGTGATACTTATAAAATGCATAGGAAGGATTATTTCTTACACAAACATGACATATATGGAGGACTAGACCCAAAATTAAAAGCTAGCTCCAATTTTGAAAAGTGGATGGCTGCAAAAGATATTGAAGCTGATAGTAGTTTTGGATTTGGTAAAAGATGTTCCTAGAAGTAGCTGTTGACTGTTGCTCATTATACTGAACAACAGCTGCTTAATCATTAGCATATACTCCCTCCGTCCCCTTTTAAATGTCCCGATTTACCATATTGGGATGTCCCTATTTAATTGTCTCATACCTTATTTGGTAAAGTTTGTGTGGCTCAAAATCATTCTTACTTTATTCTTACTTTATCAATTAATATCAACCACACAAACCCACTTTTCTTAAAACTCGTGCCACCCTCTTCCGGGACATTTAAAAGGGGACGGAGGGAGTATGTGGGAAGCATATACGAGAATATTTATTACCATAATTAGAGATTGAAAAATGGGGTTACTTTTCCAAATAAACAGGGCCATTACTTGGAAAAATAAGAGTAATGCTAATAGAGTCTTTCACATATTTTATACGGAGTATAATATATCTCTCTCTCCAAATAAGAGCTTATTTTATGTCCTCACTTTATTTACCAAAATAACATTATGGCTTATTTGGAGCATTAAATAAGCTTTAAACTCTCAAGTAAGCTCTTACCCAGAGTAGGTAGTGGAAGAGCATAACTTGGTATAGAAAGTTACATTTCTTTACTAAGTTGTGTAAGACTATATATATGCTCTCCATTATGCTCATGATATTTCAGATAAAACTCACAATTCTGAAACATAAATCAAAGGATCACCTCGTCAAGGTTTCATTAAAAGGATAACATAGTAAGTTTGAGAGAACTTTCTCTGAATCGTTTATCAAGTCAATTCCATCCTTCAAAAGCATGACAGCCTCCTGTTTATATGAAAAATGTAAGATACAATCAATGCCTTTTTTATAAAAGTGTACATTTAAATGTGAGATGGTGTTTATATATTCAAATAGTAAACTAAAATGATAAAACCAACCACATAATTTCGGAATCAAGTAAAATAAATTTTCAGAATAAGAACAAAAAAACTGCAATATAAAAAATAT